GACTGATCTCAAAGATCACTTCATGATTAGTGGCCATTTTGCTGTTGCAAACAACTGGTTAATATACCCTAGCCATCCATGGGTGAGCGGGCGACTGAGGAGATGAATTGGTCCTCGAAACCAACCCTGATAGGGGCGCAAATAACTTGAGCGTCAAGATTGCGCTGGCGTTTGCTTTTGCATTTCGATGTAGGTTAATGCTCTAACCTACAGTTACAATCTAGGTTTTCAGTAGATTTCATGCATTCAGGGTGGTCGTTTGCAGACTCGAGACTTAGACTGGCTTTCTACCACTGTCCAGATAACCGGAATTTGGTACGTATAAGCACGTGCACTCTGACCACTCTTCTTTTGCGCACTTAAAGGGATTATTCTAAAGATGATTCGGCACTCTTGGCCTGAGTGAGTCGAAAATCAAACGGTGGGTTGCTTCTCTCGTCATTCGACTTCCTGAAATTCACTAACCTCCCTTTGATTGTTTCACATGGATTGGGTTGGTGCCCATCTTCAATAACTGAATACTAGTGACTGCTTTTGCGACGGACAAGTTCTCTCAAAACGCTCCGTTTCAACTTGTTTTATGCTTTTCAGCCGTGCAACCGGCCGATTTTTACCAACTTACAGCGCCCACCTCTTTTTTAACCATGTTATGCGCTTAACCTTGTATTTGTGCTCAGCACTAGCTTCTTTGTTCAAAAGCGATCTGTTGAGGCCCTCGAGATGCCATGAATCAAGTGATGCGACATGTCGCATTTTTGCCCGAGAGGCCCGCCTAGATGATCTGTGATAATGTGGTTGACTGTTGTGTAGAGGTTAAAGGCCTTCACTTCCCGTTTACTGGCCTTGCTACTGTTGAGACACTACGGAATGCTTACTTCTCCCAATCTCTTTCATTGTGTGTGCCTCAAGGATCTAAAGGGGTAACTTTCATTGTTCCAACTCGTATGTTGTTGGATCTAGTTGGACTCTTTCAGCCTTTCACAAAAGCCATCAAAAGCCGCGACTGGAACTTATCGCGGTGTGTCACTTTATGTTTTCGTAACCCAGTGGGTTACACTAAGGAGTGTACATTAACACTCACAGTGTCCATCATACCAGGTGGGTCACTGGGTAGAAGTCTGATTAGTACAGTCTCCTGGTCCTGCATTTAGGGATAGCAACGTGTGTGGTCACTTGCTGCTCAAGTTGTTCGCCATTCTGGTCGTTCTTCATCTTCTGCTACATGGCTCTTAGGCTTTTGAACCAAATAATGTTGTTAAAGACTCTAGTTGTCCTCCTTTTCAGGTCTGGGCACCCTGGTAATGTCCAGTATCAATGAATGACAAGTACAAGTGATTTCATGCCTTATCGACCGTCGCGTGCTGCCTTCAGCCGAGTCACCTTAGTTTATGCATGTATCGGAGGGGATAAGCGAAAACAGACTGCTTCTGGCGCCACCCTTCTTTCTCCTTAACAGTGATACTTCTGTACTCCCATTCTTAAGGACTGACAAATTCGTTCGCTGACCATTGCCGTTAGCTGGGAAATCTATGTTTAACTCGGCCGCCACGGCCATGAAACCTAGAATCTCTTTATCTGACATCATCTAACGTTCGCATTCTGAAGCAAGCCGGACAACAGACTGCTTTTGCCTGTACGCTGGACCCCCTTCTATTGAAACGAGGATTCAAAACTGAGGCACGGTTGTCAAATTGACATCATAGGTTTCCCGTTCGTTCTGTTTGCGCCTTTCTGATGATCCAGAAGCAGCTACAGTTAGTTTTGCTGAGGTTTATCCAATGGTCTGTGCATTAATGGTTGCCCGTTGTTAGTAGACTCTCTGTGGTTCGTTTAGCAATGTCTGTCCTTGAACACGCATTCAATCAACGTGCGTCCGTTGTTTTTGCTTACACCCTGACAAACTTTAGTTCACAATCTCAGAGACGGTTTCTATGACGAGTGCCTTATTGTGGGGTTGGAGAGCTCAGATATTGGTGTGTCTGCAGGGGATACGCACGCACTCCTGGGTGAATTTAGCGATGTTGACGCCTAGTTGTTTGGTTGACTTTAACTGGAATCGGGACGCATGGACAGGGGCGAAAGCCTGCTACAGTCATGTGCTGACCACAGCGTATATCTGTGGCGCACCAACTTTCGAAACAACCGATGCCGCTTGGCTACATGGTGCTCTGCGGACGTGAACCAACCTCCGACCTTCCTAGAAAATTCATGACAGGTTTGTTCGGCGTTGCTGTTCTTTACCATTTTCAAGAGTTCGCTTGGCCGTGGACGATCTTTCGAACCGTAATATATGAAGCCAACTTGTCAGAGTTACCCACCAAAGTCACCTCCGAACAATCCACCTGATGTAGACTTTTACTGGAAAGCACCATCCGCAATCCTTCAAAGTGCTGAGCGCTTTAATTTTGGAATAACGCAACCGACTATCGTGGCAATGTATCTCAGGTAAATTTGCTCGGACCTCCGACAGCTATTAGTGTTAGTAGTGAGAGACCCTCTGAATCTGTGATAATTATTCTCACACGTGCTCAACAGGATCGGAGAAATATCTTATGAGCGAAATAATCAGTGACAAAAATGACTCACCCATCCCTAAAAAATAAGACCCCAATCGTTAAGCTGAACTTTATCAACAACAATTCAGCTTGCCACCTGAAGTCGCTCAATTGTATCCTCAAACCATGGTAGACCCTTGGGCAGTGAAATTAGAGCCCCCGACAGCTTCCAGAATACACGAATATTTTTTTCCATCAGGATTCAACTGAGTTTCTGGTCCTAATGAAATCTCACCCGCCCCGTTTAGAGATGGAGGTGAAATACTCAATCAACTCTTGTTTAACTTACTCCCTTCTAGCTGGATGAAAGAAACCGTCTCAGCCAGCTGGGATACTCGAGTTGAATGTGGCAGTCATAAAGAAGTCAACCTGATTCCCGTTATAACTAGACCCCGCATCGTATCTTTTACGTCTTCTTGTGTGTGTGTGTATGTGTGGAAGCGTGACCTCAAAGCAGCAGACAAGATTACACCCAGGAGTTATGTGAACAACCTCTTCATACTTCAAGTGTTCAAGCAATACCATGCGTATATAGGTCCCACAATATTGCTGTTCACTGACTTCAAAGGAACGTTCGATTCTTTCGACAGACTCGTTCTTATCAACCCGCTCTTCTCACAGGGATATTTGTAGATGTCATACCGTGTTTGTTGGCGCCTGAGAGTGCATGCTGAGCTCCCCAAAAGCTTTCCTGAAAGCAACGGCGTCTTATAAGAATGTCCAGTTTTGTCCCCATTGTCGTTTGCCTCTATTTTTTTTATATATATAAAGTCACTCCGGAAGGTCTCCAAAACTCCTCTGTCTAGATCCTTCCGAGCGATAACCTCATCGATGTGAAATTCTTTAGAGGAAGCATCTCATTTCCGGAAAAGAGCAGGAAGCGCAATCACCAATATAAAAACTGACCAAGGTTATCTAGTTTTTCGGCATGTGATTCGCATCCATAACCTTCAAAGTCATGCTCTGGGACGTACGATTCTCGGCTGTGTCTCTAGGATTGTAAGGAGAGACAAAATTGTGTTTACCAGTTCCCGCCTCTCGTGACATCAGGAATTCACATCAAAGGACGCCCGTTGGGCTGTATTATTGTACGACTGCGAGATTTGGCTACTTCGAGTGGAGGATTTGAGGTACCTTCAGGTCACTAACCACTGATGTCTCAGAGCTTTACTTGGAATCGGTTGGAACTAGAGTATTTGCAATGAGGTAATCAGCAAACAGGTCTTTGGTGTAATGGTAGGTAGTTCACTCAATGAGTACACTTAACACTGCAAGCTAAGGTGGCTGGACAGTGTATTACTGTTGTGTCGTGGATGTTGGCTGGGTGATTTAGGAGCTTGATGCAATTTATTCTGTCACGTTGATAATCTGGTTACTTGAGCGGGGAAACCTCAAGGAAGAAAACAAAGGATACCAGATGAAGATCGGGTATATTGCAGGTGAACCAATGGAAGAAAGACTGCTGCGGCTCAGTTGGTTACAACAGAGAGAAAATGACATCTCAGTGAAATATTACAAAGGATAGAATTGTTCGTTAGGACCCAACCGTCCTAACAGTTACGCATGCCGAGTAACCGAATGTCGAGACAATTGTTGTTTTCCGTTCCTAGGGGCGACCAGTATATGACATGATAGGAGAAAATGAAATATGTTACGGAGAGTCTGGGCATTCTCAGTGCATTTAGTCTCCAAGTATGATGCTCACTGGACCATCCATGTGCTTGGTTGGAGACAGCGAGAGATGTGGTGGCCAACCAATGTCAGTGGTATTCATGCAGTGACTTTCTGTCCAGATTTTCTGACTGTGCGAGGTGGAAGCGCCTGAAATATGTGTGGCTATTTGGCTGGAAGTCCCTCTTCCAGTCCCATTTTTCTCTCCATTATGCGGCTTCATTCAAGCAGACTGACGTGGTTTTGCAGTATTGAAGCACCATTTTTCCTCACCGGTCCGTCACTTATTCTGACGATCCCGTAAAAGCACTGCTAAACGCGACTTACCGGCAACAATCGCCCTTTCGCGGGATCAGTTGAAACTGGAGCCACGCGTCATTCTGTCGGGTCGCCCAACAGTGAGAGTGAGGTTGTATAGAGTGCCTTTTGAGTTTGTGATTGTACTTGGTTAGTGCATCGACCGGAAAACCGCTGTACAGTCTTAGACGCCGGATACATTTTTCGGAAATGGAAGAGTGAAGTATCCACATAGAAGCATGCTGTGATGGGTGTTATTCTAGAGCAGTTAATGAGGGTACATCCCAGCATTATCTCATGGATGACGAAATTTCTTCGAAGTGCTCAAGAACTTCTTCAAGCCGAAGGGCTTTGATCATAATTCGGCCTTGGCTATGGTATCTTTTTATGGGGACACATTCATTGTTGGTCAGTGTGTTTGTGACCCCTGTGTCTACCTGATTGTACTCTTCCATTCCAGATTTTATCTGTATTAATATGGCTGAACTGATTGAGATGCACTGGACTATGCTCATCGGTTGGCTTGCAAAGCGCAGCATCAGGCGGATCTGTATATCGTGTGGAGTGACAGCTCTGATGTTCCATCTGATCCGACGTCTTTATCAGCAGCATCAGCAGAATGAGAGGTTACGGAAGAAGCGAGACTCTGTCAAGCAGAACATCAATGCTGTGAGATCCCAACTGGCACAGGTGGACGTTACCGATGATTTACTGGCGCTCACGGACTTGGGATTGGGTGAGCTGAGCCAAAAGATTGCTTCTGGAGATGTTACACCAATCCAGTTGCTTCACGCTTTCCAGACCAAGGCACTGCAATTGTATGAGAAGGGCAATTCAGGGATTTGTGAATTCGTTCTACAGGCGCAATCCGTTTTTGAAGGTAGTTCGATTGAAGAGGAACAGGAGGAGCATTTGTCAACAATGCGAAAATCCCCACTGTACGGCATCCCGATTAGCTTGAAGGAAACATTTTGTATGAAGGGATATGACAGTACTGGAGGTCTGATTAAGCGCTGCAATTCTCCAATGGAAGAAGATTGTGTGTTGGTCACCGTATTACGGAAGGCTGGTGCTATCCCATTTGTTCGAACAACAACATCACAAGCTATGCGTGCTCTCGACGGAACGAACCCTGTGTTTGGCGACACGACCAATCCATTCAATGCGTCAAGGACAGCTGGAGGTAGTTCGTGTGGTGAGGCAGCTTTGGTTGCACAACGTGGTGCACCTGTAGGAATCGCCAGTGATATTGGGGGTAGCACTCGTATCCCCGCGGCATTTTGTGGTCTGGCCAGTTTGAAGCCCACGGTGAATAGACTGAGTTCAGTGGGTTGTCTTAATCTGGCAAGGCACTCGGTTCTTGTGTTACAAGCTTGTCCGGGTCCTGTAGCGAGAAAGGTAGATGATTTGGCAGGTGTAATGCGTAGTCTGCTGACGCCAGTGATGTTTGATTTGGATCCGCGCGTTCCACCTATGCCTTTTAACGAGGATGCATACAATGGTTCTAATGGAAAGCAACTGACAATCGGTTTCTACCAAACGTTTCATGACTCTAACTTAATGCGTACAACTCCCGCTGTCATGGAGGCTATTACTCATGCAGTGGATGCTCTTGCGAAAGCTGGACATCGAATCGTCCGATATACACCGCCAAATCCAGCAAAGGCCTATCGGATATACCTTAAATGTATTTTTGCCGATGGTGGCCGACAATTACGTCATCGTTTGTCAGATGAACCCGTCGTTACTCAACTTCGTTTCCTGAATCTTATGCTCTCTTTGCCGAACTGGGTAAAGTTTACTGCCGATATTTTCGCACGATTCGCCGGCTTTGGACCTCTAGCAGTTGCACACACAATGGGTGGTCTTCGGAGTGCTCAAATGGCAATTGATCTTCTCGTTGCCTTACGGGACTATCAAGCAGAATTTCAAAGGAGTTGGGTCGAGTCCGGGGGTTTGGATGCTGTGATTTGTCCGGCGTTTCCCTATCCAGCACCGCCGGTCGATGCACGTTCCATGTTTGTGTTTCCTGGGCTGCCCTATGTGGCATTATACAATCTGGTTGATTATCCAGCTGGTACCGTGTTAACTAGATTTGTGGATCGTGCACATGTTATTGAATCTGACAAGCTGACTGTAGAGGGAGATAGGTATGGTTCGAAGATAGCCGCGATGCAAAAGGGCAGTGAAGGGTTGCCAATTGCTGTTCAAGTTGTTGGAAGACCGTTTCAGGAGGAAACTGTGCTTCGAGTTATGCGTATCATCGAAAAAGCTCGCAGTGGTGTAGTTTCCCAACGGAGATAGATTTCCCCCGGTGTTTTTGTCATTTTGTAACCTGTACTCCATGTTGACGGATTATGCACTTGTTTTCCATCAAGTAACCCTCAGACCCTTGGAGTACCTGATGTTTTCGTCTCTTCTCCGTAGTACTTTTTACCCATTTCACCCTGGTAATGATTGCCCAAGAAGCCTTCGGCGTCACCCGGTGTCCTGGCAACACTATCGCTATTAACGCCTCTACTTTGTTTAGGAACAGCCTTGATCAACTGACTTCATCTTATCAGCCTGTGGCTGCTCGTTTGTTAGCTCCGATACTGAGTCAGTGTCTTTGATTAGTTCATGCTTTCCTCGTTATTTCTAATGCTTTTGTTGATCACAGAGAACTTTGTTTTCCAGTATTCATACATTTTGGTGCTCAGTACACTGATAATCCTTTCACTGTTCTGATTGGTCTTTTAGACTCTTCACCAAATAATTCATAAAGAAGTTTTGTCACAAAAAAGGTAGAAAAATGAACACCTACTGATTCTTCTGCGACAGCTCACCTTTTCCATCATCCAAATAGATCATTTTTGTAATTGCTGACCTCATGTCGAGAAAGATAGGCTTCAGGCAATATATATAAAATTCCATCGACCTAACTTTCATAGGGCGCAAAGATAATTTCCTTCATTGTATCATTCTGACTGCGCAGCAATCAGCTAAGCTGCTGGTGACAAGCGAAGTGGCTCAGTGGTTAGAGTGCGAGTTTATTGACCGAAAGGTCTGTGGTTCAAATCCGACCTCTCTCGTTTCACTTCCCTTGTCTAGGCTCGGTCAGCTTGGCAATATTCCAGCCCTCATATTCCCCTTGGGTGGCATGTCAGTTTGGCACCGAAAGAGTGTTGCAGTTGGACGTTTTTATTACAGGCTTGTTAAGGTTGTTGTTGTGCCTAGTCATATATTCAGGCAAGCACACAAACAGAGGCCGGTAATGTTTGTGAATACAGCGTTCCATTTGGTCTCAAAATTGCGACTCCCCGGTAGGAACTAGCTGGTTCCGCAAATCCACTGGTAAAGCGTCCATCTAATAGGATTAAGAACTTTCTGATACTAACTACGCTACTTCTCGATTGAAACTGCTTTGATTTTGAATTCCAGAAACGCACTCACTTCAGTGGTTAGTGGAACAGGTGAGCGTGTCATCTGCGTCTCATCGCGAAACTCGAGGCCTGTCGCAGTAGTAATTTGGTAATAGTTGAAAATATTGCTTCGATCGGCGCTGAAGCACTTACAAGCTAGTTGCCAAGCTTCACGAACGGATTACTTGCAGTATTTATTGGTTCGGTTGTCGTGGTCAGGCATTCGAGCGCTTCGAAGTATGGTTGGCTCAAATTGTTTTTCTCGGTAAAATGTTCGATTTTCCACTTTTTAGTTCGACAGATTCTGTGCTAAATATTTCAGGTCAAGCCTGGTGGCTTATTGTTTTGAACAACGCTCTTCTGGCTCATTTGACTTAATTTTGGCCAACAAAGTGTGAGAAAAGTTGGCTTCACGAGCTTCATTATTGTCGTTTAATCCAAAAATTTTAAAATTTGGGTTAGTACATCACTCTCTGTCACGAATTCATCTTATTGGGGTCCGGTCTTATTCCAAGGGAACGAACAGTGAGCCGTGCAACCATACTACACGAGGATCATGAAGTGGCTATGTCTCTCAAAGGACGTCTTTTCGACATGAAAAGGTTAGCGAAAATCAGCTCATCCAGCTACGCACAAAATAGTAAGGAAGTTGGTTAACTATCCCCATGTTTTCGACAAACTAATTTTAGCAATTCACAGCTTTTGCTTGTGAATTATGTCGTTAAACCGTTTCAGATAGTATGCATCAGATACTGTTTGGTTCACAGTATCCCATGATGGACTCGGAGCTGGAAACAGAGGAGAGCAGCACAGAACCGGTGAATAGAGGACCGCATTTCTATACACCTGTTATCTAATTGGGGCTGTAATATAGTCCGTGGTGCACCGGTCATCCGGACAAAGCATAAAACGGCAGTGAAGCATCGGTGTTGAACACTGACGTCTTGCTGTTGATGATTATGATGACCATAGAAGGGGGGTTCTCAGGCAGTCGTGAATGTTGATTGTGTCAGTAAAATGACAAATCTTAACGACTACTGGGTTCACTTGTACGCGTATCAGATTTGACAAACGGTCCGGTAACAGGGGCTTTATGTGGTGTGCTCGAGTGATAATTATTAGCTGATCCGTTTAAATTGACTAGTAAATTGTAGATCTGGTTCGCTCCGCCTTAGTTGATTAACGTGAGGAAAACTAAATACGAAACAGGATATGATAGAATTTAGGTATTCGAGACCTAAACTTGGGATGTTTGTCATAAATAGAGAATGCGGTGCTTCCTAACAGTATACTCTTAGGTCCGTAACGGTCAATTTGTTGAGGATGGTGAATAAAGAATTTGCAGTGTTCTTATGGAAAGATGAAATGTCTGAGGTTTTTCCTAAGATCTTAAGGTACTTACAATGACTCTCCATATTTCTATTGATTCTCCTGTATGCCACTAACACCTTGCTAGACCACTTGAAGAAAATGGTTTAGTAATTTTCAGTAGAACTTCAACTGCGCTTGATCAGTTATGCAATAGCACAGAGGCTGCCTTGTACCGTTTCCACGGGACAGTTTTTGCTGCCATCTTGACGTGTTGGTCGGGCTTGAGTGCCACAGTGATCTCACGGGCCATTCTGGCTGGAACGTCGTTCCACAGGGTGCAACCATGCCAGGAAGGCCAAAGGGTAGCAGCGAGACCCCGTGCTACCAGTAGTCGTGCTACGAGGCGGTCTGGGGATACAGTCGTACTGTCCTCTGCAACAGGAGTGTGGAGGCAGTAAGGTATTTCCCCCATGCTACCAGCATGTCCATATTTATGGAAGCAGCGATGATGTCTTCCATCGATAAAGGACGGGTTAGAAAAGATCGTCTCTAAAACCCGCACACTCCGATCGCCCAATCGTTGACCGTGGCCGCCGGCGCATTATCCGATACGGTCGAAATACTTTTAAAACCAAAGGCACGTGATGTGCTTAGCCGCATCAGGAATGAGACAGTAATGCCTTACTCCCTGCGTCCTCGTGTTAAACCAACCCAGTGCAGCCGAGCTGGTCAGATTGTTGAGTCAACGGTTCCCGGCAAGGTCCCCAAGAAAATCCTAATGTCCGCTGCCTCGTGGGTCAGACTTTTGATTCAAAGGCTCAAGGTGAGGTATCTCAACCAAACCCTCAGCATCGACCTGGGCAACCGGAAAATATCATTTACCCGCGCAATTCTGTGTCCACTGATGTCCCTCCCCAACCCCTTCCCATCACACAAGCAAAGTTCACTAGGTAACTTGACGGTCAGTTTTCTGACCGAAAAGCCTTATGCTCCTCACTGCCTATCAACAGTTAAAAAAACAACACCCTTCTAAATCCACGAGATCCTTTCTATATAGGAGCTTTTAACGTCCATACTCTGTCGCATTGGCAAACAAGCAATGCTTGATGAAACTTAGTGCTCCCTTAAAATTGATGTATGCTGTTTCTCCGAAACATGCATACAAGACCCAAGCGTGATTATGCATTTCAGAACTCATCTCTTTTAAATTTCTCCCTCCCTGTGTCCGGTGACCCAGAAGCGATAACTCCTGGAATATATGGTGTGGGAGTTGCACTCAGCCCCACAGCTGAACGCGCTTTGCTGGATTGGATCCCAGTGAACAGTCGTCTGCACCGTCAGGTTGTCCAGTTCAGTCAAGCTCAGTGCCTCTCGGCGTGAAAAGTCGTGTCTCTTTGTAGTGTCGGATTATGACCCAACGGACTGCAGTTCTGATTTTGAGAAGGACACTTTCTGTCGAGAGCTATCCGGGCTCATTCGTCAGGCAAAACGCACTGACATTGTGATCCTTGCAGGCGATATAAATGCTCAAGTAAGCCGTCTCAGCTTCTTGGAATCGCATTTGGGCGGTCGATTCGGAGTCGACGCCTTATATAAGCTGATGCGATCGACTGGCCCTAGGAAAGCAACAGTCAGCGAAATGATGAATGAAAAAGATGGCTGGTTAATTCACTCACAAAAACGTCGGCTGGAAAGATGGGCCGAACACTTAGAAGAACAGTTCTGCTGGCCTGCAACACAGCCTGTGGATATAATGCGTATGGACGAATGGAATATGAACCTTGATCGCCCGTCAGAAGAAGAAATAACGTACGAAATATCCTTACTGAAACGTGAGAAGGCACCAGAACCGGACAGTCCGTATCCAGTCCTCTTCAAAGAAGGCGGAATTGCACATACACAAATAAACTCATACCACATCGGCCGTCGCATGGTGCCATCAGCCGGGTCGCCTTACTTGCTGCATACAACAGGGCGGGTAAGCGAAAACAGGCTACTGCTGACGCC